AATATCTTGTATGCCATTGGCTTGTGAAATCATAATTCCCACAGAGAACCTGTGCTGAATAAATTACTAAGCAAGTCAATTCAGTCTCTGAGCATGACTATTGCTGCCCCTCGAAACAAAGAAAAAAAGAAAACACTGTTGTTCCATGATTCAGAAGAGATTTTTTTCAAAAGAAGATAAAAGCAAAAGTGCCCATTTATTCTCAGTCAGAAGATAAGATCTGTAATTATTGTTCTAAAGTAGAAATTAGTTCAATAGCCCTTTTAAGTGGGAATTTCTTGAAATGAAGAATGTGGCAGAAGTTGGGAACATTTTTCAGTACAATTTTGTTTTCCTCCTCAGAAGGCTAAAGAACTCAGTAGCTGTCCTTTCCACCTGGAAGTGATATTGAGCCATATTTTCCAAACTGTTTCTCAGAAACTTAGGTTTCAGCAGATACCTTATATGTTTTATTTCTTAACCAGAGTCACTCCACTTTTATATATTACATATTGGTTCTCCATAAACATTTACTCTTTGGAGCATGTTCCTCTAATTAAAAAAAAAAGATTTTGAAAATACAATGCACTTGTAAATACTTAACTGATAATATAGTACATGAAATATATTTGAAATAGGTAATGCATTTTTATTTCAGAACTCTGCTATTAACATAAATATTAAGATGCAAATATTCATAATTTTTTCTTTTTAATAGCTTTACCCTACAGCCTAGGTTATTTTTTTTTAAGAAATACTACATTTATTGGACTTTCTTTTTTTTAAATGATTTAAAAAATATTTTCTTTTTATTTATTTATTTTTAGAGAGGGGGGAGGGAGAAAGAGAGGGACAGAAACATCAGTGTGTGGTTGCCTCTCTCTTGGCCCACACTGGGGACCTGGCCTACAACCCAGGCATGTACCCTGACTGGAAATCAAACCAGCGATCCTTTAGTTCACAGCCCATGCTCAATCCACTGAGCTACAACAGCCAGGGCCCTAGGTTATTTTTTTTTTAATAGTTTTACATTCTGTTAGTGGCTGCTTTTGAGCATTGAGGTATATACTGAACCCTAAATTTAAGTTGGGGTAACATGATTTAGAGTAATTTGTTGCAACTAATTAAGATTCTTGTCTGAACCAGGTGCTGTGCTGACTGCCAGGAGAATAAAGATGACTTTGATAGTTCATTTTGTTCATTGTTTCCACGTATGAGTAAATCATACAGTACTTGTCTTTCTCTGACTGGCTTGTGAAGGGGGACCCAAAAAACTCCAAAATTTATTTATAAAAAATTGTGTATTTTGCTCTGGCTGGTGTAGCTCAGTGGATTGAGCATGGACCTGTGAACCAAAGAGTCACTGGTTTGATTCCCAGTCAAGGCACATGCCTGGTTTGTGGGCCAGGTCCCCAGTAGAGGGTATGTGAGAGGTAAACCACACATTGATGTTTCTCTCCCTCTCTTTCTCCTTCCCTTCCCATCTCTCTAAAAATAAATGAATAAATAATATTTAAAATAAGTTTTTAAAAATTGTGTATTTATTCTTACATGTGTAAAGTTCAGTCACCTGCAAAGTACTCTCCATTTGATGCAATACACCTATTGAGATGTTTTTTCCACTGCTCAAAACAGTTTTTGAACTCGTCAATTTTGATACCTTTTAATGCTTCTGCCATTTTTTGTTTCATCCCTTCCACATTGACAAAACATTTCTGTTTGAGGACTTTTTTATCCAGGGAAACAAAAAAATAAGTCACTGGGGTGAGATTAGGTGAATAGGGAGGGTGTGGCATGGGGATCATGCTGTTTTTGGTTAAAAACTGCTGAATACTCAGCACTGTGTGGGCAGGTGTGCTTGTACATCACCCATCATAAAACGGGAAACACACTGAGTCTTCAAAAAAATTCACTGAAGCCAAACACATCCTCTTACAACAATGCCAGCTGGTACACTGATACAGATAGGTTCCTAGAACACTGACCTAGTGAGGGAAGCCTGTACTTTAAGAGCCCTACCCTCTAGAAGATAATTCTGTTTTTTGTGGCCCCCCCCCTCATATTTCATTTAGCATAATGTTCTCTGGGACCATTCATGCTGTTGCAGAGAGTAAACAGCAAAATAAACTCATAGACAGAGAGCAGGCTGACAGCTATGGGGTGCAGGTGGCTTGGGGGTAGAGGGATTGAGGGAAAAAAAGGGAAAAAAAGAACTCGGGGGCATAGAAAACAGTGTGGTGATTGTGGGGAGTGTGGTCTGGGAGGTGGAAGAAGGTATGGGGGTATAAATGGTGATAGAAAAAAGATGACTTTGAGAATTTGAGTGTCATAGTCTGGTAATAGAGTCATGTCAGTCTGTGATCAGCATTTACACCGTATGCTTTAGCAGCAGTGTAGAGAGGCGTGTGTACTCAAAAGGGACTTGGGTGGGATGAGGGAGACAGGAGGAAGACAGGAGGAAGCTGCTGCAGCAACCTGAATAACTAGCATTGATTGAGCCTCTATTCTGAGCTAAATACAGTTCAAGGGGGATAGACCTGGATAGACCAAGGGGGACCCAAACATGGGTCCTCTGTTGCCCTCTGGACCATGCAGTCTGAGAAAATAAAGTTAAACAAATAAAATCCCAGAAATATACAGAATTACACCTTCAAATGAATTCTGTGAAGGAAAGAGTAGGAGAATAACAGGAGCAAAATCTTTTAGAGATACTTAAAGAATGTATTACACGTGATAATTATCACTGCAGTGGTGATAGTATTACAATATATAAATGTTCCAAATTAACATGTTGTACACCTTAAATCTGCATAATGTTATTTGCCTAACATACTTCAATTTAAACAATATAAATTTAAAGAATGAAGAATCATGAATAAAGAAGGAGGGAAAGAATGTTCTTGTTTTTTGTTTTTTTTTTAAAGTCATCCCTGAATCTGATCAAACCAATTTATAATAAATGCAGAGGATGGAAGAATAAGCTAAACAGAGGAACGAATGAACTTAGCAAAATCCAAATAGGAAAACGGAGAAAATTTGCCTTGGCTCATATGGCTCAGTGGACTGAGTGCCAGCCTGTGATCCAAAGGGTTGTTAGTTTGATTCCCAGTCAGGACACATGCCTGGGTTGCCAGCCAGGCCCCCAGTTGGTAGCGTGCAAGAGATAATCAATTGATGTATCTTTTGCACATCAATGTTTCTTTCTCTCTCTTTCTCCCTCCCTTCTTCTCTCTCTAAAAATAAATAAAATAAAATAAAATAAAACCTTTATAGAAAATAAAAATAAATGCTAAGAAGAAAAACAATGGTAACAAAACGGTTTTCCCACTGAAACTTCTGTCCTAGCCTGAGGCACTGTGATCAGTTCGGGCTCCAGGTCAGCTCTTCTCCTAAATTAATTGGTTAAGCTCACCAGGTAGGGACACACCCAGGTAGGGGGCTGGAATGCTTTCCTAGGAGAATTTCCATGGGTTGATTCACTTTCTAACCTGAAAAGAAAGGAGCCAGGATTTCAACCATTATCTTCCTAATCCAAAACCATTTGGTCACACACCCTGATCTAGTTTACAATTCTAGACTTCTAAATGCATTTACTTTAGTTAATTCTTTAACCTGAGGGCTTATTGAAGCGCAGATTCCTGGAGGTCTAGGGTGGAGTCTCCTAATCTATTTTTTAAGTCATTTTGTTTCTTCACTAATCTGAAACTGAACCCTTGCAGGCTACATTTTGAATATAAATTAAACTGCTCTGGGCTCCATGGGTGCTGAGACTAATGGACCAAACCATTTTCCTACGGCAGAGAAAGTCCCCTGCAAGACCACTGGATGCCAGTGCTGCCATATCATTTGCTAATATTTGCTTTAGTAGCTCTGGCTTCTTAGAGTGACATGAAAATGTCTGTGACTTCTTTAGGCTTATCTCTTGTCACACCCTGCCTCCAACGTTATGCTCCAGCAACCCCCCTGTGCTTGTAGTTCCTTCTGCATTTATTAGTCTATCACTCACCCATCTTGTTTTGGCTCTTGCTGATTCTTTTCTGAACAGCCAAACCCTTTTCTCTTACCCAGTTTATCAGTATTACAAGCTTAATATCTATGTTGAAAAGTAAAGCCGGGAGGGATTCTATTATTCAAGTTCTACAATTTAATTCTAATCCCCCAGTGAGTGACACACCCTTAGGCATAAATCTGTTATCAAATACCTCTGAATCTTTTTTTCTATTCTTTCTGTTCTGTTTTTTCTATTCTAAACTTTATTTGAGAGTTTTCTACTTGCAATTTTCTCCCAAGTTTTTATTCCTTAAGGCTAAAAGTTTCTTTTTAAAAATTATGCAAGACAGCAACACAATGATAGCCACCAGGGGCTTAGACAATTTATGAAAACTGAATATACAGCCTTAAAGTAGAATGGGAGCCTAAATACCCAGAAGCACCCCATTTTGTAAGATTTGTAACAACACGAGTATGACTGGAGTTAATAGTTCTAATGGAATGTGTACCCAAGAGCCCTATCAGTGCCAGCAGAAGGAGAGAATTCATATAGCATCAAAGCTGTCCTGCAGGAGCTTCAGCCGACTAATGCCATCTGATGAAAATAATGAAACTCCTCAGCCACCTGAAGGAGAGTGTAGGCCCACCCCTCCCCCCCATTCGATTTAAGCTGTCTTCATTTTCCACTTCATTTATCTAGAGAAGAAGTAAATTCTCTAGATAAAGTACTGGAAAAGCAGCTCCCATTCCAAGGCAATTTATCATAAGATATTGTAAATGACACTTTTTTTTGTCCATTTGAAATATATAAGTTGTACTATAACAAAAATAAATGAACAAATAGATAAATTTAAAAAATTAAGAGTGATGTTAATTACCCATTAACTCAAAGGCCAATTAATAGACAAGGTAAGAGATAAAACTGATGAAATTATCTCACTGTCGATGGGAAGGCAGGAAGAAGAGGAAGAAAAGAGAGCTCTTTTGAGAAACAGGAAGTAGAAGGAGACATTTGCTTATAAAAGGAGAAATCAGGCTAGAAACTCTCAGGTTAAAAGGAGTAAACTGCAAGTGTCCTCAACTCAGCTGGCTTTGCCTTCCTCTGAGGTTCCTGGAAATGACTAGCTCGAGTTTCGATAGCAATGAAAAGGTAAGTTTTGTTCAAATATAATTAATTTTACTGCAGAGTCACTTTTCAAAGCCTTTCTAGAACTCACTTATGTTTCCCTCTTGCCACCAATTTTAGTTTCCGGACGTAAGAAACCTTCACCTTGGAATCTCCTTCTCTTTGCTGTGGATTATTACTTTTCTTTCATGTGATTGTGGCCCGTGCATTTGAGTGAGAGTAAAAAAGAGAAATAAAGATTTTTTAAATAGTGCAAAGTAAGAGATTTATTTTTTGCAGAAAGTCATGGTGTAACTGTACAAGATAAAAATGGTAAAAAAGTGAAGAGGCACAGTAAAAAGAATGTGGGAAAGGATAATGTGGATAAAGCCAAAAAGTGAAGTAACTGATTAGTTTCTTTCCTCCGGGAGTGAGAAGTAACCTGCTCCCATCAGCCTTGGTGTCAAATGCATTTTCAGGCTAGGCTTGGGGCGCCCTGGCCTGGAAAAGGATTAATCGAGGTTTTCATAGGTATTTACAAGGCTGCTGTACCAGGTTGGAGGTCTGAATTGGCCAGCATTAAGTGTTTGATTGTGAGCACATCATATAGCTGCTTTGAGCCCCCATTTATCTCTAGAATAGAGCAATATTCCCCCAATAATATCAATATTTTTTTGAAGCTGACCATTGAGTGTGTGTGAAAGTGCTTTGAAAAAGTGGTAAACAAATGCAAAATCCCTATATGCAAGCTAGGAGTTGGAGAGCAATAGGAAGCTATTGAGATGATTTAAATAGGGAAAGGGGGTGGCTGCATAAGCTCCCGCTTGGCTGCTGTGGGAAAAGTGTTACAATAGGGCTGGAATGGAGTTTATTTACTTTCGTTTTGAGAGAAAAGTTTGGAGATTCACTCAAGCATATGTTAGTCCCTGACTTTGTTCTTTTAATTTCTAAGACTTGGTTGCCTAATTTTTAAAGTAGGAAAAGTAATGCTATGAGGATTAAATGAGAAATACAGGAAGCACCTAGTACAGTGCATGTTAAGTGTACAAAACCAGTAAATGTTACTTCTTACCTGCCTACTTTACCTTTCAGTCATTACATGGCAAAAAGAACACTGAGGGCCCCATTTGCTGAGTGAAACAGATACATTCTCTCCCCTCAGGTCCTGGGGCAGAAATAAGGCCCAAATGGCTTGAGATCAGAAAGCTCTTAAGCTGGACTGGCAGGCAGGAGCCAAAGTGTTGAGGAACGCATGAACTACAGAGGGAGGTTTTTGTTTTTGTTTTTTCCTTTTTTAAAGAGTTTATTTATTTTTAGAAAGAGGGTAAGGTAGTGAGAAAATGAAAAACAGCGGTGTGCAAAAGGAACATTGATCAGCTTCCTCTTGCACAACTTCAGTTGGGGACCTGGCCTACAACCCAGGCATGTACCCCAATTGGGAATTGAATGCGGACCACCTTTTGGTTCTCAGAACAGTACTCAACCCACTGAACCACAAACAGTCAGGGCTACAGAGCAAGTTCTGTCATTAATCTAAAAAGCAATGATAAGCCATGGAAGTACTTTAAGCAAGCAGGAGAGCAATCTGAAGAAAGAGTGGAGTTAGAATGGATTTTGGAATAGCAGGAGAATTTTGCACATGCCAGTGAGAATGAATGACAGCTTGAACTGCGAAACGTGATGGAAGATGGGAAAGTAGGAACACATTTCACACAGATTTAGGAAATAAAATGAAAGTATTTAGAGTTTTAGCTGATGGAAAGGAAGGCCATGAGGGAAATGGTTTCCACAAATGCCTTCTATTTCCTTTTTGTACTTTTAAATCTGTTTTTGCTGATTTCCTTATTGTTTTTTTTTTTAAATCTAGTACAGGGTCTAGAAATAAATATCAAGTTTACGGAAATCTCAATATGTTTTTATTCCATCCACGCTCTCAGTTTCTCATTTATGAGTTGTGATTTGAAAGTAATCAATTTAATTATATGCATCAAATAAGAATCGGAGATGGACCTTTCTTTTCCAGGATTTCTTTGAAGATAAATTAGATGAAGAAAGTGTGATTCTCACATTGGTTCCAGTTAATGAGGAACATAATGAAGAACATCAAATGGAACCAAGTGTATCTTCAACCTCAGGAGCCAACTTGAGGATGCCTGGGACAAACAATATAGGTATGAGGACAAGGATTGCTCAGTCTGCCATTTCTCCAGCTTTGGGAAGCCCAGGAAAAAAGATTTTTCTTTATTCTTTGACCATATATAAGGTCCAGTTTAAATTTCACTTCAGTTACCTGTAGCTTGTCATTTGCTAAGTGAGCATTATGTACTGCCTTGCCTTTAAGACACACACAAAAATCGGCATGTGAAGTGCTTTGGACAGAGCATAGTCTTGGGGTATCTAGATATGAGTTCAAATTTCCAACCAGTGAAGCTCAATCTTCTCTTCATTTTGGTTAATACATACTTTCAAACATCTTACAAAAAGTGATTCAGCTTTATTGATATTAAGGCTTAACACTGTAATTTTAAGGTATACAAAGTGATGATTCATGCATGTATATATTGTGAAATGATTACCAAAATAAGGTTAATGAATGCATTCATCACCTCACACAGGAAGCTTTTTGTCCCCCCTGTGGTAAGAATGTTTAAGATCTACTCTCTTAGCAACTTGCAAGCTTACAATAGAGTATTGCTAACTATAGCAGCCATGCTGTACATTAGATCCCTAGAACTTACTCATTTTATAACTGAAAATTTGTACCTTTGGATCAACAACATCTCCCCATTTCTCCCATCCCAAACCCCTGGCAACCACCACCCTACTCTCTTTCTATGAGTTCTGCTTATTTAGATTCCACTTATAAGTGAGATCAGAGTGTTTAGAAAACAAAACAGTTTTGGAAAACATCTAATATTTCATTGGTGAGTAATTACTGATCAAACATCTAGCAGTTATTAATAATCATTACTCAGTGCTTCATATAAAGGCATTGAATAAATATTTTCAGAATGATTTTATTTTGGGGGCCAAAAATAAGGACTGCAAGACGAAGGAGATAATAACAAGTTATAACTAGGCAAAGTGTGAGTTGAGACAAGCTCCTGTAGAGAAAAATAAGGCAGGCTGACAGAATGGAAGGCCACTGTTGGTTGGGGTGCTTTCTTTGATTTCTGTAAGTCTAAAATCTAGACATTTTGGAGGAGCACACCAATATAATGTTTTATTAGGTGGTGTCAATGACCACAAAAACAACAGGTTGCTGTATATGTAGTCTAAAAATCATGGAATTTTGAATGTCAAAACGTGTTCAAGTCCTGGGTCTGCCATTTTAATGGAGATGTGATTTTGGGCAAGTCCTTTGATTCTTGAATCTATTGCCTATTTGTAAAATGAGGAAAAATATTTGTTGTGTGTATCTGCAAATTGGGATATAGGAAATAAGTGAAAACTTAGTAAAATTATAAAGAATCTTACAATTTTTAAATTACTACTACTTTGGTTTTCTTTTTTCAGTTTATCTCCCTCAAATGAATGAACAATTCAAAGATTACCCTAATGCAATTCTTCCCTTGCCAACCATTTTGCCTTCATTTAATAAAGTACGTTGTGATACTTTGCGGGACTGGTGCCAACAAATTAACTTGAGCACTGAAGGCAAGGTGAGTACATTTGTGGGAATTTCTGCTGCTCAGAGCAAATATTAGAAGCTTTGTCACATTGACTCTGTCCCCTCCCCCTTAATTTTCTTAGAAAATAGAGATTTACTTGAGGCTGAAGGAACATGCTTACTCTGAAGAAAAACAGGTGAGTGAGGAATATGGATACAGTGTAAAGGTGAGTTGTCATTGTGAATTGTTCCTCCTCTCCTAGCATCTCTACATTTGTTGTACCTCTTTTAATTTATTTATTTAATTTATTTATTTTATTTATTTTTTTTTTTAGAGAGGGAAGGGAGGGAGAAAGGGAGAGAGAAAGAGAGAAACATCAATGTGCGGTTGCTGGGGGTCATGGCCTGCAACCCAGGCATGTACCCTGACTGGGAATCGAACCTGTGACACTTTGGTTCGCAGCCCACGCTCAATCCACTGAGCTACACCATCCAGGGCAAATAATTTATTTTGTTTTGGGATCTGTCCTGTCTATTTTAGTATGTTTTGCAGACTAAGCATCCCTGGCCCCTACCCACTAGATGTCAGTAGCAACCCTTCCTCCCCCACAGTTTTAACAATCAACAATCTCTTCCGCTTGAGAATCACTACTCTAAAAGAACTAACATACCTAAACCCTTCCCATGCTGACCTACCTGGGTCAATGTATAGAGATGATAAAATTGACACAGAATCACTATAGCAGCACTTCACTGAATACTCATCATGAATCCCATTTGCAGAGTACTGCCGGAATACCACAGGAGGATACCTTGCAGTTCGGTTCGAGGAAATGCAAGATGGTGACCAAGAGAACAAGGAGTAATAAAAATTGTAAGATGAGTAAGAGAGAGAAAGAGACCAATACAGTTGAAGTGATAACTTCAGCTCAGGAGGCCATGTTGGCAGCATGGTCAAGAATTGCTGCAAGAGCTGTGCAGCCTAAGGCTGTGAATTCCTGTTTCATTCCTGTTCTTGCTGAGAACTTTCTGCTGCAAACATCTGGTAAGATCAACCTTAAACAGTGAGTACCATTCCAGAAAAAGATGAACTTTTATTAGTCTAATACCTAAAGGTATAGTACAAAGAAAACAGTTAATATATCTGTACTTTGGATATTAGGTTCATAGAAGACTTATCTTTTGATTGTCAGGTTTTGCCTGGTTGGATTTCTAAGCCAGGTGATTGAGCTTTCTTACCACTAAGCAGAAGGCTAAGTTGGGAAGAAAGCATAATCTGGTAATGTGGTCAGCCACAACCCAAGGTCTTCCACATTTTTGTCTCCTTTCCTTCAAAGCTTTCATAACTTAGTAAATAAGAAGGCAAGCATTTGTGTAGCCTTGGTTCAGATCCTTGTCTTAAGACTTTAATGGTTTGTGGCATTGGCCAGTTCTGTTGTAAGCCCCAGTGTTCTCATTTATAAAATGACTTCACAGAATGATTGTGAGACTTAGGAGATACAATTTGGCACATGCAAAATATGGAATAATAATTAAAATATTTGGAACCCCTGTCCTCTTAAGAAATCTTGAGATAACTTGGTCCCACTTTTCTCCTACTTCTCTTCCCTTGATATTTTTGTTTTCATTTCCAGCAGATCCTACCTCAGGTCAGCACAAAGTCACCCTCATTCTTTTTTGCTTGAGTTCTTTTTCTCTCCACCTCATTTCCAAAAGTGTTCAGTATCCTCTTTTATCAAGGGCTGACTTGTATAGTAAGGCGTGTTTTTTATTACACAAGGAACATAGCCAAAAAGAAGACAGAAGCTAAAGTTGGCCTACTGTCTGATCTCTAAGCTGCACTCCCTCCTGTGAACAAGAATAGGCATCTTTTGCTAATTTCCAAAAAATTGTTCTCCAGTCACAAAGCTGTCTCTGGAGGACTGCTTCCCCAAAGACGATAGCTCCTCGAAATTTTCATTAATGTGCCATATGAGCTAGTAGCATCACACACTTATTCATCTTTTTAGGTCTTTTCCATTTAGCAGTTATTAAGCACCTACCATGATCCAGGAGAGTGCCTACTCACCAGATATACAGTGCTAAGCATAATCAATCTCTACTATTGTTTTATAGTCTGACTGGGGAGCTCTTATGAATATTTAGGCTCACAGTTACTGTTCCTTTCTCTCAAACACTTGATAACTTACCTTATTTACCGTGTTTTTTCTTAAATATCCCTCTCCCCAATTATATTATTCCTTAGGCTTTTAAACAAAGATCCTTGTGCATATTTATATATATATGTGTGTATATATATATATATACGTATATTTGAAGCAGTACAATGTCATAACTAGGCAAATCAGCTTTGAATTAAAATATCTGGACCCATGTATTGGTTCTGGGGAAATTATAATATTTCATACCACAAGCTTCAGTTACTTCACCTGTAAATATAAAAAGTAAATAGGAGGTAAATATTAATAACATTCTTAATAAATATAGGAATACATGTAAACAACTTAGCAATATTCTGAACCCAAAACAAGCATTTCAAAAAGTTAATTGTTATTATCCCTAATGCTATATAATTTATGAAGTTAGATTATAGTATCTTTTGGTCTACAATTTTTATGCTTCTCATTCAGTTGATTCATCAGCAGAATATAAGGACAAAGCCAAGAGTGACTTGCTGAGAGAGGTTGAATTGGGGTGCAGTTACTCGATCTTAACTGTTTATGTTGGCTTCTCTTTCTTTGCCAGGTGTCAGGTGGTGTGTGGTCCATGGCAGACCTCTTTTGGGAGACAAAGAGGGGTGGGTTCGTCTGCAATTCCTTGCTGGTCAGGCCTGGGTGCCTGAAACTCCCAAGAAGATGATCTCTCTCTTCCTGTTACCAGCCTGCACTTTCCCATCCTCAGACCTAGAAGATAATATGTTATGCCCTGAATGTGTTAAGAGGTAAACCTTAATATTTTTCTGTATGGTACACCAAAAAGTAGATGTCAAGGTGGGTCTCTGAATAATTTAGTACAAGAAAGCAGAGGACAAATATACTGTTTTCTTAATTTGCCAGGTCAGGGTTATAGATCAGACACAGATAGGAAGGAAAAAGAATTTGGTAGTGGATTAAAACTCAGATAAATGAGGCTTCCTAGCCAGCTTAACAAAGCATCTGACACGTTAAGAGTATTAATTGCCTCAATTTTAGAGACCTGTTTTAAGAAAAAAAATATGTCAGATATATAGCTGGGGATAAAAAAATTAGGCAAAATCCATGTAGCATGATAAAAAGATACTGTGAAAATAGGAAGGTAGTACCTATATTTAGAGTAGCTTAGGGAAACTTCACAAAGGATTATGTTTACTGAGGAAGATCTTACCAGTTGGAAGGTAATAATTCAGATATTTAGGTGTGGAAACAACCCATACAAATACATGGAAGTAAAAGAACATGACATACTTAGAAATTTCAAATAGATCTGTATGATTGAAGCTTGAATTGACAAGTAAGTCTAGGAAAGGGAGGACTAGACCACTGAAAGGTTTATATCTGTAATAAAGGTCTCATAATATTATTTTGTAGGTCATAATTTCTTAGTCATTTTTATAACACAGACTACCTTGAGGCTAAATAATGAAAGCTACACACTACATACCCACTGTTGGAGAAAATATACATTGGGCATACATATAAACACTGTTTTAGATTTTATATAGACTATAGAACTTCTAATGTTTACCCATTAGTACAAAATTCAGCTTTAGATGATTTAATTGGTGGAGGTAATGTAGGATGGGTATGGAGGGAAGCTAAGGTTTTTTGTTTTTTGTTTTAAAGATTTTATTTATTTATTTTTAGGTAGAGGGGAAGGGAGGTAGAAAGAGGGAGAGAAACATAAATGTGTGGTTGCCCCTACTGGGGACCTGGCCCACATCCTAGGCATGTGCCTTGACTGGGAATCAAACAGGCGACCCTTTGGTCCACAGGCCGGTGTTCAATCCATTGAGCCACACCAGCCAGGGCAAGTTTTAAGGAAGTGTATTGATATCTTGCAACAGAAACTAGATTGGAGGGTAAGTAAGAGATAACTAATAATTCTGAAAAGATATAATATATGACCTTGGCAAAGAATTTAAAGAGGAATGGGACAAATTTAAGACATTTAGGGGTAAAAGGAAGAGGATGCTACCTTACTAGATGGAGGAAAGGTGGACATCTGTCTAGTTCAGTGGTGAGGTATATGATATGTGGTACATGCTTGACGTGGGTCTAAAGAACTGAGATAAGTATGGGTTAGAGGAACATTTTTGGGAGTCATTAGCATTTAAATTGCATGTAAGAATGTGTAGGAATTAAAAAGGACATAGGAAAGAACCCTTAAGAGAATCAGTATACTGATGGCAGGTGAGCAATGAAGACTGTAAAGATACAGTTTATAGGTTGGGAAATAAGTGAGAAAAAGAAGCAAGAGGCAGAATTTCAGAGGAAAACAGTTGGCAGTGAGATGGCCATGTAAGATTATGAATAATGCAGTGCTGTTGAGAATGTCAATTTAGGAAATAATTTGTGGCCTTTTTGAGAGTGAGCTGAGAGGGTCAATAAAAGCAGAAATGTGATAATGACAAGTTAGGGTAGAGCATCTGAAGGACTATGACAGAACATACTGATAATCTCTACTACTCGAGTGAAAAGGAGGAGATGGAAGTTAATTGAAGTAATAATATCGAGGGAACTTTCTTCCTTTCTTCTTTTTATTTTTTAATGGGAAAACCATAAGCATGTGTGAATAGATACGGGATGTGGGAGAAGCTGTGGGAAGGGAAGGGAGAATGTAAAGATATAGAAAGTGCCCTGGCTGGTGTGACTCAGTGGGTTGAGTGCTGGCCTACCAACCAAAAGTTCACCAGTTCAATTCCTGGTCAGGGCACATGCCTGGGTTGTGGGTAAGGTTTCAAGATGGGACCAAGGTTCCAAGATGGGGCCATGTGAGAGGCATGTTTCTCTCACACATGGATGTTTCTCTCCCTCTTTTTCTCCCATCCCTTCTCTCTAAAAAAAATAAATAAAATCTTTTAAAAAATGATAAAGGACGTGAAACGAATTGTAGTGTACAGTATATGAGGAGTGATATTAAGTGGGCAATCTTGTTCCATTGTTTACTACATAAAATTCTTTTGCCCACCCTTCTTAGATGAAGGTGGGGTGCTAACAACTCAGGAATGCTAGGAGAGGATTACTTGTTTTGTCAGTCATTTTTAAGGGGTGGTTTGGAATGGTTATCTTATTCTAACAGTTTTTAAAAATTCTTTTTTACCTTGCTTTATAGGAATAAAAGGATGATGGAAAAATTAATTAAAATGAAGAGGAAGAAGAAACCTCGTTTGAATATACCCACATAATTCCTTTTGGATGGGGCATGTCTCAATAAAGAATAAATGGTAGAATGCTCACAGCTAAATTGACTTGTATCCAAATGATTGCTGTGTTCTGTTCTGGACATACTCAGTGTTGCTTGATGCCTTGAGTACAGATGTGAATGTCTGGATTCTGTACTCAAGGTTTGCCAAAAAATGACTGCCACTGCTGCTTCAGGTATTTAGGTATGTAGAATATAATTTGGTTTTGTCCTAATTAATAGATTTTTTAGCAGTTTTAGGATTTCAGAAAAACTGAGCAGAAAATAATGAGTTCCAAAATTCTGCCCCCTCTCCCACATTCCCTCTACTATCAACACCGTGAATCAGGATGGTAAATTTGTTGAGCTCACGTTGACGCCTCATTATCACCAAAAGTCCATAGTTGACAGTAGGGTTCACTCTTTGTGCCTTACATTCTATGGGTTTTCACCAATATATAATGGTATCCACCATTATAGAGTCATACAAAATAGTTTCACTGCCCTAAAAATTCTGTACTTTTATTCAACACGCCCTCCTCCCAACCTCTGAGCCATTGATACTTTTTACTGTATCCATAACTTTGCCTTTTCCAGAATGTCATATAGTTGGCATCATACAGTAGCCTTTCCAGATTGACTTCTTTCACAGCAATATGCATTTAAGGTTCCTCTATTTTTTTCACAGCTTGATAGCCCACTTTTTTTTTTCATTTTTTAATTGATTTAGAGAGAAGGAGGGAGAGAGGAGACATTTGTGTACAGGTTTTTGTGAGCATAAATTTTCAACTTTTGGGGGTAAATACCAAGGAGCATGGTTTTTGGATCTGATGTTAAGAGTGTTTAGTTTTATAATAAACTGCCAAACTTTCTTCCAAAGTGGCTATTCCATTCTTCATCCTCACCAGCATAAAGTGTTGTCAGTGATTTAGATTTTGTACATTCTAATAGCTGTGTAGTGTTATCTCATTATTTTAATTTGCAATTTCCTAATTACATTTGATGTGGATCAGCTTTCATTTGCTTCTTTATCATCCATATATCTTTGGTGAAGTATCTGTTCAGGTCTTTTACCTATTTTTTTTAACCTGGCTATTCATTCTGTTATTAAGTTTTATGAGTTCCTTTTATATGTTGGATGGCATTCCTTTATCAGATAAATCTGTTGCAAACATTTTTTTCCCAATCTTAGGCTGTGTCCTCATTTTCTTGATTAATTGGTGTATTTAGGTCATTGATAATTTAAGTGATTGATAAGAGATGGATTGAGATATTTTTCATTGCCCTCATTTTTAAGTTTTTTTGTCTTCCCTTTTCTGATTTTAATTGAAGCATTTTATTATCTACTAGTAAAATTAAAAAAACAACATCTGGATACAGAAAAAGCATTTAACAAAATCCAACCATCTTTCATGATGTGAAAACATTCGGTACACAATGAATAGAAAGGAGCAGCCTAAACCTTATATAGGTCACCTGTGAAAAGCCGCAGCTAACATACTGAGTGGTGAAAGGCTGAAAGTATTTTTTCCTGAAGTCAGCAATAAGACAAGGACGCTCATTTTAACCACTTCTGTTCAAGATGATACTGGAAGTTCTAGCCAGAAAAGTTAGGCAAGAAAAAGAAACTGAGGTCACCTAAATTGGAAAAGCAGAAGTAAAAACTGTCTATACACAGGTGATATGACATTACATATAAAAAACTGAGGAATCCTTCAAAAACCTGTTAGAGCTAATGAACAAATACAGCAAATTGTCAGAATATACAAATCAAAATCAGTTGTATTTCTATATACTAGAAATGATCTGACAATTAAAATGATTTCCAATAACATCAAAATAGCCTATAATACTATTAAAGGAATAAACTTTAATAAGTTATAAGCCACATTGAAGACGACAAAGCATTGCTGAAAGAAATTATCTCAGTTCATAAGTGTGGTAAACAGATCAATTTCAATGTAGAAACATGTTTGCATTTTTCTTTATTTTTAGAGGGGGTGGGAAGAAGAGAGGGAAAGTGTGGTTGCCTCTTGTATGCCTCCTACTGGGGACCCAGCCTGCAACCCAGGCATGTGCCCTGACTGGGAATTGAACTGGCAACCCTTTGGTTCACAGACTGGCACCCAATCCACTGAGCCACACCAGCCAGGGCCATACTTGTATTTTTTATACTGCTAGCATATGCATTTTATATATTTTATTTTCAAAATTTGCACCAAACAAAAGTTGAAAGAATAGCAATAATTTACAATGATCATTTTTCCCACATTTAAAAATCTTTCCATTTGTTTTTTATTGATTACCCTACATTATAGAGTAAACAGACACATTCATTGCCCCTAAGTGCTTTTAGCATGCCCCCTGTAAGAATAAAGGCATTCAGCATAATCTGTCACTATCAAACGTAAGAAATAGTCATTTTATAATAACATCTTGCCCTGTTCTGGTGGCTTATTTGGTTGAAGCATCATCCCGTGCACCAAAAGGTTGCAGGTCCCATCCCTGGTCGGGGTGCCTGCAGGAGGCAACCAATTTATGTTTCTCACTTTGGTGTTTTTCCCTGTCTTTCTAAAACATATTCTCAGGTGAGGATTAAAATACAACAAAAAAAAATAGCACCTACTATCTAGTTCCTATTCAATTATTGTCCACAGAATATATTTTGTACTTTAAAAAATCCAGGATTCAATAGTTTCTGGCATTTAATTTATCGCACTATCTTCCTTCCTTTAAATCAAATATCTTTTCTCTATAATATTGTGTTTGAAGAGAAAAGGTCAGGTTTCTTGTACAACATTCCACATTCTGGATTGTATTCTTGTGGTGTTCTTTGACTAATTCTCTATATTTTTTTAAACCCAAAATTAAGATTAGAGACTTAATTCAATTAAGATAAAACATTTTTAGAAGAATATTTTATATATAAGATTGAAGACTTCATATTTCATTGCGTAAGAAGATCCATAACTCAGATTGTCTCGTCATTATATTAAAAAGGTTACAACTTTATTTCAGTGATGACCGTCTTATTTCTCCAAGGTGCAAGTGCAGTTTTCACTTTCAAATTTATAAATACTTTGCAGGTTGACACTTTTGCCACCATATATGACTATCTTGCCCCTTCCCCGCAACTGTCCACCCAGTGAATTGTAACATCTATGGTCATTCATGTCTGAATCAATTATTGCATTGATGGTTGCAAACTCTCACCAGTATCGATTCATTTTTTTTTAGCTGTAATTCTATAAAAAAGAAGGAAAAGTCTCCTTTTAGACTTCCATTCTGGCTTCATGAATTTAAAATATTTTAAAAATTAGTTTATTTTTTGATTAAAAATTAAGTTTTAGTTATGTGTTATAACCAGTTAATATTATGATGCATTAAAATATTCTTGGATTCAATAGCTCATATTATTTAAAATTGTATTACATGAATAATTAACTTTATCATATATTTCTTTTAAAAAATTTTATTCATTGATTTTTTTAGAGATAAGGGACTCATAAAGGGGAAGGGAAGAAAGCAAGAATGGGAAGAGAAATCAGATTTTTAAAAATTCCTTTTTAAAAAGATTTATTTATTTTTAGCGAGGGAGGGAGAACAAGGGAGAGACACATCAAGGTGTAGTTGCCCCTTATGTACCCTTACTGGGGACCTGGCCCACAACACAGACATGTGCCCTGACTGGGAATTGAACTGGTGACCTTTTGTTTCACAGGCTGGTGCTCAATCCACTGAGCCACATTAGCCAGGGCAGAAATCAGATATGCATGCTGGAACTGGGAGCATAATAAAAGCCTTGGCCAATCTTGAAGTTTTGGAGCTAAAATGTCAAGGTTGTTCTCACCTTGGGTCAAAAGTTTGTGCTCTATACTCTAGCCAAATTAGTTACTGGTTGTTGGTTCCTTGGGTTAGGCCAAAGCCTGGGGCATTTTTTCTCAACTGAGGGCGGGAATCTCCCAGGGGCTGACTGCCGGAGGCTGTCTCCTGATAAGATTCCCTTTCTGGGGGTGGGGAGGATGGGATCTGGGCAACTCCTTTCCAAGGCCACTGCAGTTGGTTTCTGATTCTGATTACCCTGCCGTGTTCTTTGGTTTTCGGTTTCCTTAATTTCTATTATCTTTCTTTACTTTCGTTCCTCCATGTTTCTTTGAATTTATTCAGTGTTTCTTTTTCTGGCTTGAGTTGCAATTTTCCTTGAGTTAAATTCTTGGTTCATTTGTATTTATTTTAATTTTTTTTTTTTTATGAAATGCTTAATGAAATTGCATTTCCTTGCTCAGGAACCATGCTAGTCTTCTCTGTATCATTCCAACTTTAGTATATATGCTGCCAAAGTGAGCACAGTCCTTCTGTTTTCTGATCAATATTTTTAAAGCTAGAAGTGTACTCATAAGAACTACTTTCTCTAATTTTGGGAAATTCTTAGTCATTATTTCTTCAAAATGTTTTCTCTCTTCTATTTCTCTTCCTCCAGGGTTTTTACTAAATACTGTTAACTTTCTTCCATCATAGCTCTTACTTTTATTTCCTAATTTTATCTTGGGTTTGTGTCTGGAAGGCCAGGAGTGGTAAGACATTCGCCAAATGGAAGGAATCCTGAACAAGTAGTTCCTAGACACTTCCTTCAGACAAGCCACACAAATGCTCAGAATAAGTATGTGCTACTGTTAACCAGACACAGGCACCCTGAGAGGGTCTGCCTAGGGCCAGCTGTAGTGTGTGGGTTCTTGGTGTAGGAAAGATTTTACAACACAAATCCAGGTGACTATGAGGATCCATTAAAGCTGGGGATGGTAAAACAAGGAAGGGCTTAGCACAGAAAAAGCAATGGAAGAGTCTAGGCTGGACTGCTGTAGCTCACTGGGAAGTCAGAGAAAAGGGGGTTTTGGGGCCAAGTTCAGGGGATTAGCCTGGGCCAAGCTGTCAGCTGCTTATTGCTTTGCAGGAGTGTCCAACCGGCAGCCCACAGGCTGTATGCAGCCCAGGATGGCTGTGAATATGGCCCAACACAAAACTAAATTTACTTAAAACATGAGAATTTTTTGTGATT